GACATACGAAGCTTTTTCATAAAGCAGAGAGTGTAAGTAGGCAAACATAACTAGCCACACAAATAACTAGCAGTAGTAGTGACTGACCAGGCTTTCAAATGCAGATTCTACTGTGGAAAATAGTATTAACTGGTGATCCTGGTTACCCAGGATATTGTTACAGTTAAACCTAGCTTCTGCAATCTTTCAAGGTTAGGAGCATCAATTAGGGGTGTGCAGCACGGATAGACTCAGAAGTCGCGCTATCATGATAGAATGCTACGTTAGCAAGTCCCTGAATGTTAATTAGCCTACCTTAACTTAGAATCTTGCAGTCATAAACAGTGGATCATCTGAGACATTTTTCGTTTCTACATTCTGTTTATGTAATGTATTTGTGAGTGTAGCCTACTTGCTAGACACATGTGCTGGAAAAACATGTTGGCAATGTTAAAAAGGCAAAAGTTAACACTGTTGGTTATTCAAATATAATGAATCATTATTTGATTGATAATATCTAAATTCCAAATAATAATAATTTATGTTAAATAAAATGTTTGGTTGTTCAGCATTACATAGTCTCAGGTGTTTATTTTTTGAGAGTGCATTTTTGAGATTATACAGTTATACTAGCTCTTTATTGACAGTATACAGGATGGTGTATCGGGCTCAGGATACAATATAATGAGATTAAGTAGATTCACTTCTGTATTGTGATATTCTGTATTGCCAGCAGTCTGAAATGACAAAGGAAATCGCCATTAAAGCAATGTTACTTATCTTACAACAAAATAATTCCCGGGGGATGGGGGGTGTCCCCACCAAAGCTGAGACCAAACCTACGCCCATGTAATGAAGTAACTTCTACTTCAAAATAATGGATCATTATCACAGTATTAATGCCTATATATTAATGGTAATTTAGTTACCTGGCTCTGAGTGGCTGGCTCATCTCTCATGGGCTCAGGCAAGGGAAACTCTGCTGCATTACTCTCCATGCTCTGAAAATGAATATAATAAAAGTCATTTACACGTACATCAAAATTATGGCTGCAAGATAGTATCGCAAATGTGCATACCGTAATGATTCTCAATAAATTAATACTTCTAAAAGTTATATATAGTCAAGTTTTAGGTCAATGTAGATAACAGAGAGAGAGAGTGATGCTTTCTTTTGCCAGAGGGAATGTAAAACATATGTTGGTTATTCAATTTTTCAATAATTTAAACTGATTTAACAAACTTTAGGCATTATCATATTGCATACTGTAAATCGCATTATTATCAGTGTTAATATCTATATGTGAACAGTTACCTGGTGTTGAGTGGGTGGCTCATCTCTCATGGGCTCAGGCAACAAAGACCCTTCTGTATCTGTCCGGGTCGATGACAGACCAGGAGGTTGTATGGCTGCTGCCTGCAGCTGAAAGGGTTCTGGGGGATTGAAGCTGAGGTCGATAATTTCGAGGGGCTCACCATCGAATTCCAAATCCTCAAACCCCTCATCACCCTCCAGATTACTCCCCAGGTCTTCATCCGGAATCCCATCAGGAACAGAACCAAAGTCTTCCTCGAAAGGTGTATTTGATTGGGAATATAAATATTCCACACCTATTAGTTCCCCTGTAGACATTCAAAGTGTGATGAGCACATGGGTGAAAGGCAGGTGTCATTCGATTTAGGTGAAACGATCTAGGTGTGGACTCGAGGGACGTTGAGCCACGTGCGCAGCGATACAGGGGCAGAATGACCCCCCCCCTTTGTTCACCTGCCCTACCTTCCTGTAAAGCTGCACACCTGGTGGGTCCTGGATGCATTCAATGTGGCGCTGCTGGGTCCGCCAGATCTCCTCCATCCTGTCATTGTCCAGCAGCTTGATCCCCATTGTGTCCGTTGCACCCGTGAAGTCCTTAAGGAGCCGTTCAATCAGCTCCTTAGTTTCCTGGGCTCCACGGGTGCGTCGACGATAGTGTCTTGCCAGCTCTTAAGCGGTGGGATCGCAACCGCAGGCCTCCTTCAGTTTCTCAACATCACCAGGATCCCACTCAAAGATGCTGGCCGAGAGCCGTCCCATGAAGGGGCCGTAAAGCGGATGGCTGTCTGTGGTTACCCTGACTGCGATCCGCCGCATAAAATGCCACATGTCGAGCCTGACCACCAGCTGGTCCCACTCACTAAATATCGCTGCCGCCTTGCCTTTACAACTTGCAGAGCAGCAGTCCCGGTCCACATAAAGGACTTGGGGAGGAGCTTCTCCAGCTCGGTGGTAGCGATCAACGATCCCAGAACACATAGGGAGCAGGCCTTTTCCCTCTCCTTCTGTGAGGACACACATCAGAACTTGCCCTATTTCGTTCCCCACATCGGTCACCCATGCAGCAGTGCCAGCAGCATCACCTGCTAGCTTCTTGGTGACCTAAAGTGGACGATAAGTATTAATATCAAGGAAACAAGACCTTTTTATTGGAAAATAACACCAAGTGTGACTAAATCAGGCTTTACCTTTTTGGTGGAGTCCATCTTCAGGATTGAGCCATACACAGAGGTGACCCGGGTCTTAAGTTCAGGAAGTACATCTTTGGCATATACTGACAACAGCCAAGCTGGACAAGGCACAGGCACCATCTGTGGCAGTGGGGCAACGAGACGGCCGGGATCAGTGTCCTGGGTCACAAACTTTCTGAGCACGGAGAGGCAGTTCAGGACCTGCCCATGCTCGTTGCCCACATCCGTGGCCCAGACGGCTATGTCGAAAGCAGCCCCGGCGAGTTTATTGGTCACCTGAAACCAAGAAACAGAGCGCAATTGTGTGAGTGAGATCGTGTTTCATGGTATTTGTCATTTTGTCAGAGGAAGTATTCTTTATTGAAAATGCAATGACAAACTAAAAACTACTACAAACTAATGTGGTATGCTTAAAATATTGACCAAAAAGTACACCGTGGCATGTGACACTTAATACGGTATGAAAGTTGGTTACCTTCTTTGTGGAGTCCATCTTTAAGATTGACCCAAAGACAGAGGTGACCCTGGCCTTCAACTCATCCAGCCGTGACAGTACGTCCATGCTGTAGACGCTCAGCAGCCAGACCGGTGAGGGGACCTTTGGCATTTCCGGGAGTGGTGGAAATTGTGGCCAGATGTTTCCAGAGGTCATGAAGTGCTGGCACTCGCTGAGGTACTGAATGGACCGTCGCATCCAGGCTTCGCTGTGGCTCTCACACAGCTTCTTGTACAGCTGAGTTGCACTGTTCCCCAAAGAACGCTCCCTCAGCATCACTACAACCACAAGGTCACAGGAAAGCCTGGAGAGATAGATTTTTTTTTTTTATGATTTAGATGTACCTTTTAAAACAACAAACAATACAATGAATTGTCACTTCTTAGCTGTGAAAACAAAAAACAATAAATATTTACTTGTAGGTCAGAATCGCTGGAAACCGGCAGCGATGCACAGGGTCCAGCTGACCCAAGACGTCCTGGGACCAGCCCGCCACCTTCTTTTTACATTTAGGGCACTCCAGGTACTCTGTGGCCATTAGGTACCAGCCCTTCACATCCAAGACCCTCCGGATGGTCTAGTAAGGCCCAGCCTTGGTGAGAGTGGTGTTACACCCAGGCTGGGTGCATGTCAGCTTGAATGACCACATGCGCAGTGGCATCCAGAGGAACAGCGGACGCGCAAAGAAGGGGTCGGGCAACGCGGGTGGCTGACTGTAGATCAGCCGAGGTTGGGGAGGGTACCACCACAGACGCAACTCTGTGGTAAGTTGTGATTTCCCAGTGCGACCCCTGGTGAACAGTGTACGGCCGATCCGCTGCTGCTCTTTGTTGAGGACTGCCCGCCAGCTCTCTGGAAGAAGCAGCTGCATTTTTGATAGAGGACAAGAAAATGACTAGTAAAATACTAAAATACTAGTATTTTGATCTGCCTTACTTAAGGTGGACGTTGACGCAATTTTCTTTTAGAAACAAACTTTGTTATATTGTTTTCATGTTATCACTGTGAAGCGCTTTGATACAATCTGTATTGTAAAAAGCGCTATATAAATAAAGGTGACTTGACTTGACTTGACTAGTAGCTTACAGTTGTGAATATCCAATTACTTTCTGAACCGTCGCCGTTATAGGTAGACTCACCTCAGGACTTGCATGTGCAGGCGGCGGACGCGGGAAAGATTGACGTGGCACAGCCTGCTCTTCGGTCCGGACAGCAGCTCCTGGTGGATCCTGGGAGGCCTGGGGTGGGTCCGTAGTCGTTTGGGTGGAAAGTAAAACAGGGACCTGTATGTCCAAGGCTTCATAACAATACATACAGAGAATTCATCCATATATCAGGCCAAGTATTAGAAGAGGAGATTAGATGTAGACGAAGCATTATATTAATTTCAGGAAGTTCACAGTAGTTAAGCAAAGCACAGGTTGATGTCAGAAAAGCAAGGAAACTGAAGGAAATAAAAGTGTGAAAGTACGTGTGTCAAGGTTGACACAAATCGAATGTGTAATGTAAGTTGTTATAAAGAAAAATGAAGACAAACATTTCAGCCACGTAGGAGGGTGGGAGAAAAGTATAAAATGATGCACAATATCTCCACAATGTGAGAATAACACCTTTAAAAAGTCAAGAGCCAAAAACATAATATTTAGGGGGAGACCAACATTCCAGGAAATCTGCAAGTACTGGACTAAACATTCTTATCAAGAATACTGGGGTGGGGTGAGGTGGTGGTACAGCGGGGTAAGGCGGCGGAGCTAGACACCATGAGAGGAAATGTGCAGCCACATGGCAGGATATGGATTAACAGCAACTAGTAAGCCGTTCTAGATGTACATGAATATCTACAGAGTTTCTCACCCAAACCCTACCTTATCCACTGGACCATTTGTCTGATGAATATTCCAACAGAAAGACATTATATTACATACAACATTGTTTATCCGATTAAAAAAATACTTATCAATGAATATCAGGTAATGTATCAATCAACTTACAGTTCTGGGTGGCAATGGCAACTGCGACCAGCTGGTCTGGAAGCAGGCACCCCTTTACGACACACAGAAAAGTGTTAAACGTGGTCTCAGTCATAAAGAGCTCATTGTTCCAATTTGAAAACGCTTACTGGGAACTGCAGTCTTTTTGGCAAGGATCTTCCTGACTGTTGACTGCAGTTGACCTGGGGTCACAGAACGCTGCCCTAAAAATGCAGAGACCGCTGCACCAAGAGGCCTTTAACACCCAAACAGTTGGGAATAAAATAACCATTGTACTTTATTAAATTAATTAACGGGTCATCTTTACTGATACCAATACTTACCCTGAAGCTGTCTTAACCCCAGCAAGGGGAGAAGGGGGTGCAGCTGCCTCCACGGCGCCTGGTATATTTAAGGGCTGCTTCCATAGGGTCCCCGGGATTCCGGGGTGTCTGCTTCCTCAGCCAGTTGACATAACTGATTAAAAAAAATATTCATTAGAAATTGGATTCATCAATTATCACAAATACAACTTCTATCACCATGACATTGTTATTCAAATGACTGTTCTCACCCATTGTGGTCTTTGTCCTTGGACTCATACAGTTCCTGCAGTGTCTCTGCCCTGTAGCTGTGAAATCCAACAAGGGCTTGGCCTTCCTGTCCAGGCTGTGAGGCCTGGACTCTGGAATCCACGAATGCCCTCTGGAACCTGAAATCCTCATTAACAGCAGAATATGCATTTGCGTAGCGGGCCAAGGCGTCCTTGTGGACCATCAGTAGAGACGCTGCGCTCCTGCTGATGGCTAGCCACCAGCCCCACAACCCAGCCCACGTCATTTTCTAGGAGCCACTTAAAGGTCTGACCCTGGTACACGCCGAACTGAACTGCATACCGGCTCAGAACCAGCATCACGGAATCAGGATCACCACCCTCTGAGACGACACGGGCCCGAGCCACTGCCTCGCATTCTTCTGGCTTCTTGCAAACCACAGCCTGGTCAGGCTTGGCCTTGATGGACTGAGCCTCAGGCGTGGAGTGCATGGCCAGCTCCTTTCCCCTCCATCTAAACGTTGGGTTTTCCATCTAGGATTCAAGTGGTAAAGTACATACTGAATAATAGTAGAATTAACAATGCAGATTTTCCATTCATGAGAATTCATAAAATGTACAGGGAATAGAAAACCTTTATGCCAGATTTAAGTCGCATTTTGTCTGTTGGCCAGCTTTATGACATGGTCATACCCAGCTTGGCCATCTGCTCCCACACTCTCCACCTGGGCATCAATAGAAATTAATACACATCTATATTTTCACTGTCATATCATTCTCCAATTTCAAAGAAAGATGATATTTCATGCCCATACGATTATTTATTTTCTATGTATTCGTGAAATATGCAATATAATCTACAGCTAGCCATTATTTATAAAAAAATAACCAACTTAATGAAATATCAAAATGATCGTCCCACACCCCATAAAATCTCATTATAGATTGCTATATGGGCATTTATTTACCTGGCTCTGAGTGGCTGTCCCAGGCAAGGACGGCTCTGCTGGATGTGTCTGGGATGATGACAGCAAACGGCAACCCTACAACCTCCTGGTTTGTTGAATGGGCTGCAGGGGATTGCAGGTGAGCTCCAAATTCAAGGGGCTCGTCAAAGCTCAAGTCCTTAAACCACTCATCCCCCTCCAGATCACCCTCCTGGTCCTCATCCCGAAGCTCATCTGGGGTGTCAAGGATCTGCAGCAAATCTGTAGTCTTCCTCAAATGCTTTATTGGTTTTGGAATACAAGAGTTGTACACCAATGAGCTCACCTATAGAAAAACAGAGTGTGTAACGCAGATGTTTTAACAACACATGGGAGAAATACAGCTGCTACCCATAAGTAGCATGTGCATGACCACAATACCTGTGTATTCGCCCGGGCTGGTGTAATCCTGAACCGGATTCTGAACCACTCCTACTGCAAACCTCCGCATGAAGTGCCAAAGATCCAGCCTGACAATCAGCTGGTCCCACTCACCAAACATTGCAGTCGCCTTTCCTTTCCCGGTGGCAGAGCAACAGTCCTAGTCCACATAGAGGACTTGGGGAGGAGCTTCCCCAGCTCTCCGGTACCGCTCCACGAGTCCAGAGCACATGGGGAGTAGGCCATCACCCTCTGCCTCAGTGAGGACACACATGAGGACCTGCCCAAACTCGTTACCCACATTTGTGGCCCATGGTGCTGTGCCAGCAAGCTTCACCAGTCAGTTTCTTACTGACCTAAAATAGAATAAAAAGAAATATTAATATGGACAGACCTGTCGGTGTACATTGAAAAAATTATAATTTTGTGACAGAAAAAAACACGAGAACAAAAAGGTGACTTAGCCTACACCGATTTCTACTAATGGTGATGTTATGAGCATGTGTCGTCTTACCTTTTTAGTGGAATCCATCTTCAGGATGGTTCCATAGATGGAGGTCACCCTGGCCTTTAGTTCCGGCAGCCATGTCAGAACGTCTTTGGCATAAACTGACAGCAACCATGCCGGACGAGGCACATGTACCATCTGAGGTAGCTGGGCAGCGAGACTGCTAGGGTCTCTGGCATAGTCCAGGAACTTCGCAACCACAGAGAGATAATGGGTTTTCTGGGCAATCCAATGCTCTCTGTGCCTGACACACAGGCTTCGGTAGGCAGAAGTTGCACTGTTCCCCAATGAGCGTCCCCGCATCCACCTCACTATCTCCTTATCACAGGACAGCCTGCATGATAAGACCACAGCTCAATAATGAGCATGAAAGACATTTTCTCAAGTTAAAACGGTGTGCCAACCTGTAGGTCAAAACCGCAGGAAACATTTCCCTGTGGACAGGATCAAGCTGGTTAAGGATATCCTGTGACCAGGCTACCGGCTTCTTTTTGCAAGACTGGCACTCAAGGTACTCGGATGCCAGCGGCTGGTACTTTATGGCTACTAAGACCCTCCTGACGGTCTTGTACATCCCGCATGCTGTCAGCGGTAAGCCAAGACGGCGACAGTTGGGCTGTGAGCAGAGCAGCCTGTATGACCACAAGCGGTAAGGGACTCACAGGAACAGCCTGACATGATAGAAGGTGTCAGGCTTAGAGGGAGGCTGTGAATAAAGAGGACGGGGCCCAGGTGGATGCCACCAGAGACGTAAGTTCTTGGTCAGCCAAGTCAAGTCAAGTCATCTTCATTTATATAGCGCTTTTAACAATGGAGATTGTTTCAAAGCAGCTTTACAGAGATAAACATACAATTTACGGTAACAGAGATTGTTTTGGCTTTATAGCGATTTTGAATAATGTTATTTTCGGCTAAAGTTGGTTTTGATTGATTCACTTCCAGCAAAATTATCATTTGTTATTACATTAGGGGCCACTAAGATGACGGCGTTCTCTCTAAACAGACTTTAAACGCGAACCTGTGACCTGATGGCGTTCACATGCGCATTAAAAATTGATTCTATAGTTATATTCGTTTGAATATGTGTGCGCAGGTTCAATCACTTATGGTCCTTACGTGTGCGTATCCTGGGTGTTTAAATCTCATCGAGTGTGACCTTTCAACGTGATGACATATTCCCGGCGTGTTGCAGATCAGCTCAATCCGAACAATTATAGTTAAAAAGTATATATATTAGTGCTGGGCAACGATTAAAAAATTTAATCGCAATTAATCGCATTATTTTCTTGCGATTAATCGCGATTAATCGCATTGTTACGCGCAAAATTGAACAATGAATTCTAAAGTAGTGTATTGCGCACTTTTGATTTAAATATACTGCTACAAAAGTGCCATAACATGTGGTTTGCAAAAACTTTAAACAAATAAGGTGCTTTTATACCAGCAGTATTCCCTTTACACAGTATCAATAAAATATTTCTTGTAAATCTCAACTTAAACATTAATGTAATCAAATCAAATATTTAAACACAGCTATTTGCCACTGCCAGGGCATTACCTTTTATCTAGCTTGTTAAAACGAGTCCAGTTTTCTTGTTTTTTTTCTTCTTTTCTGAACAGGTATCTTGTATCAGGGAGCAGCAGAAACAGTCTATGTAGTTAAAGGGTCATGATCACTACTACAGATATAAGTCGACCAACGTTACTTCTCTGATAGCAGCTTAGGTTTGGTTATGGCATGCCATGGTTTCCCACGTAAGATTACATTAAACAGAGGTAAAGCCCAATTTATACTTCTGCGTCGAACTCACGCCGTAGCTGTGTAGCGCGCGTACCCTGACATGCACCTCTCCAAAAATGTAACGTCAATTCTACGCGTACCGCAAGCGCTGTGATTGCTAGAACCGCTCCCCGGGTTTCACACTCTCCCTCTGCATGTGTAATTGCGCGTCAACGCGGACAACGACGCAGATATATAAATGAAAACCAACGCGTAGTCTATAGTGTAGAGGCTCCGGCGTAGGTCCGACGCAGAAGTATAAATCAGCCTAGAGTGAGGTGAAGTGGTCGAGCACAGGTGCAGCGACAAGCGGGTGCGTTCCTGTGAAACTGTTGCGGTCATGCTCGCCTCACGCCCGCGCCCACGCGTTGCCGAAGTTGAATTGTCTAACTTTTTGTACACGACGCGCAGCACAAATCATTGGAAGAGAGACTGATCCTCGGCTGTTTTGAGTTTGTGAGTTTCCAGAATCTAAATAGTTATCAGGACATCAACAGGAGGGAATTCACATAGCAGAGCATCCCCGCTAAACTAAACGCAGGCCTATCAGGTAAAGTTATGTATAATTTTAATTTAAGTTAAAAAGGCTACAGCTGCGTAGCGCACAGTCAAGTCAAGTCATCTTCATTTATATAGCGCTTTTAACAATGAATTGTTTCAAAGCAGCTTTACAGAGATAAACATATAATTTAAGGTAACAGATTGTTTTGGCGTTATAGCGGTTCTTGAATAATGTTACTTCCAGCTAAAGTTAACTTTGATTGATTCACCTCCGTCGAAATGATCAGACTTTAAACGCGAACCTGTGATTAACGCTGACGGCGTTCACATGCTCATTCAGAATTCTATAGTTATGTGCTTTTTAAAATATGTGCGCAGGTTTGTAATTCATACAACCCAGCCTAAACAAACTACTTTTCTTGCCTATAAATTTTGATACAGAATTTTGTTTTATTTTATCACTTCGGGGTACGCGAGCCGGAATTCACAGCGCTTTATCTGTAGAGTGGGAAAGGGATCCTCCATAGGGAGAGGATAGTGGATACTTCAGCACTGCATTGTCATCGGGTCCAGGCAAATCTCCTTCGTCAGATCTGGACACGGCCTGGATCCGGCAGGCTGCGGGAAAACCTCGGGATAAACAAAGACACTAATATTAGCGTAGATGCCATTCTTCTTATGATGTAGCGAGTACATCAAGATTTAAGGGAAGTGTTCCCAGTTCCGGCTGACCTAATCTATGCAGCCTAACATTGAATTTATAGAAGTCTATAATGTATTATGTGTATGCTAGGTCAAAGAGATGTGTTTTTAGTCTAGCTTTGAACTGACAGAGTGTGTCTGCTTCCCGGACAATGGTAGGAAGACTGTTCCAAAGTTTTGGTGCTAAATAGGAAAAGGATCTACCGCCAGCAGTCGATTTAGATATTCTAGGTATTATCAACTGGCCGGAATTTTGAGATCGCAATAGACGTGAAGGACTATAATGCGTTAAGAGCTCGCTCAAGTACTGCGGAGCTAAACCATTTAGTGCTTTGTAGGTAATCAACAATATTTTAAAATTTATACGAT